AACCCACACCAGGCCCATTCCCAGTCCTAATTTTTGCATGTGCCAGTATGTGCTGTGCCCTAGCCTGGTCCATCTTAAATCTCTTCTGGCTTTCATGCAGATTCATGAGTGCTGTAGCTTAGCTTAGCTCAACCTGCCCTCCAGACTCAGTCCACACACATGCCATTGACTTCTGCTACCTTGCCCAGCCCTGTTTGCCACCAGTGGGAGCTGCAAGCTGCAGCCTAGCAGAGTAGTGCCCACAGTTTCCATAACAACCCCACTCCCAGCCCCAGATTTTGTGCTTGCCAGGGGTACTGCAGTTCAGCCTGACTTGACTTGCACCCAGTCCTGGCACTTGCCAGTGGATGCTGTGGCCTAGCCTTGCCAGCCCATACTTAATTTGGCTCTAATGCACACTAGCAGGTACAGAAGCTAAGCCTGGCTTGCCCCCGAGACCTTCCCTCCCCTAGTCCCAACTCATACTCACAGGTGGAAGAAGCAGCCTAGCCAGGGAGTCCCCAAAGTTTGATGCCAGGCTCACTCCCAGCCCTGTGTCTTATGTATGTCAGTAGGTGCTGTGGCCCAATATGAGATGGTCTAACCTCAGTCCCGACGTTCAGCAGCAGGTGCTGCAAACTGGTTTAGCCCAGCCCATCCCTAGTCCCAGCTCTTGCTGGTGATACAGCAACTTAGCCCAGCCTGGCCCTCCTCTAACTCTACCCTCATGTGAACTGGCAGGTGTTGTAGTCCACCCAGCCTTTCTGCACCCTGATTTGGTTCACACAAATGCCAGCGGGTGCTATGACCCAACCTGAATTGGCTGGCCTCTAGTCCTGGCATTCAGTGGCTGTTACTGTGGCTTAACTCAATTGTCCTGTACTCATTTTAGCTCTTGCTGGTGGGTGTTACAGCCTAGCCCACCCTAGGCCATACCCTTACACACCTCTATGTCAACCAGCATTTGTTGTGGCCTAGACCAGCCTTTCCCACACCCATTCTGGCTCTCATAAGTGCCAGCTGGTGCTGAGGCCAAAACCCAGCTCCTACACATGCTTACAGGTGGTGCAGCCTTGCTCAGCCCTGTCCGCCCCCAGCCCTAGCTCTTGCACTGCCCAGTTGAAGCTGCAGTCTAGCAGGTGCGTCCTCAAGATTATCTTTTTTTTTTATAAGATTTATTTATTTATTGGAAAGTCAGATATACAGAGAGGATAAGAGACAGAGAGGAAGATCTTCTGTCCGATGATTCACTCCCAAGTAAGCTCAATGGCTGATGCTATGCCAATCCGAAGCCAGGATCCAGGAACTTCTTCCAGGTCTCCCACACGGGTGCAGGGTCCCAAAGCTTTGGGCTGTCCTCGACTGCTTTCCCGGGCCACAAGCAGGGAGCAAGATGGGAAGTGAGCTGCTGGGATTAGAACTGGTGCCCATATGGGATCCCGGGGCATTTAAGGTGAGGACTTAAGCCGCTAGGCCACGCCACCGGGCCCCTCAAGATTATCTTACCAGGCCCATTCCTAGCCCTGGATCTTGTGAGTGCTTCAACCCAGCTTGACATCACCCACCTGACATCACCCACCCCCAGTCTCAGCTCTTGCTGGCGGGTGTTGTAACCTAGCTTAGTGGACACGGCCCACACCCTGTCCTGGTTCTTGTGTGTGTTAGCTGCTTCTTTGGCCTGGTCCAGCCTAGTCTGCACTCTGATCCAGCCCACATAAATACGAATGAGTGCTTCAGCCTTGCTTGGCCTGGCCCACCCCAGCCCCAGCTGTTGTGCTCCCCAGTGGGAGCTTCAGTCTAGCAGGGGAGTTTACCCACGGCTGTCAGGAAGTTCCTGTCAGATGAATTCTATGGTCTGGTCTGCCTTGACTTGTCACCACCCAGTTCTCTGAGCAAAGTAGTGGGTGCCACAGTCCCACAGAATTGAGCCCACAATTCCCCTACAAAATCTGCACCCAGATCCGATTCTCTTCTATTCTGGTGGGTGCTGCAGCTCAGCCTGACATGACCCACACTCTACTGCAACCCTTGTAAGCAGGTACTCACTCAGCCAGCCATACCCAGCAGTTCTTAGCTGTTGCGTGAAACAGTGGTCAGTGAGTGATGCTATTTAGCTCAGCCCGGGTGTCCCACGTGGACAGGTGCCTTGGTCTTTTCCAGACATGTCCTGTGGCTTCCGTCTCTAAGTTACTGTCTCAGCTCCCTCCCTTACCTGCGAATGTAGTGTAGAAGACCCCAGAAGTTATTCCTCCCCTGTCATATGTGCCCTCAGCTGCTCACACTCTAATATGCCCCCAGATCCCCTTCCCCTGTAACTACAAAACTGTATCATGGAAATAATAATAAAAATTGTGTATAAGTTTAGGCATGGCTTGGTGACTCTGAATACTAATCTGCCGTGTGGTGCCAGCATCCCCTATGGGCATCAGTTGGTGTCTTGGCTGCCCCACTTCTTTTTTATTTATTTATTTATTTTTGCAATTTATCTATTTTTATTGGAAAAAGTCAGATGTACAGCAAAGGAGATCTTTGGTCTGCTGGCTCACTTCCCAAGAAGCCGCAATGCTTGGAGCTGAGCCAATCTGAAACCAGGAGCCAGGAGCTTCTTCTCGGTCCCCCCACATGGCTTCAGGGTCCCAAGGCTTTGGACTGTCCTTGACTGCTTTCCCAGGGCACATGCAGGGAACTGGATGGGAAGCAGGGCTGCCAGGACATGAACTGGTGTCCATATGGGATCCCGGGGCATGAGCAAGGTGAGGATTTTAGCTGCTAGGCTACCTCCCGGGTCCGGTTGCCCCACTTCTGACCCAGCTTTCTGCTTGTGGCCTGGAAAAGTAGCAGGGGGGACCCAATTCCTTGGGACCCTGCACCCACTTGGGAGACCCAGAAGAAACTCCTAACTCCAGTCTTGTCATAGGGTCAGCTAGGACCGTGTGGCTATTTGAGGAATGAATCAGCTGATGGAAGTCTTCTCTGTTAAATCTGCCTTTCATATAAAAATAAATTAAGCTTTAAAAAATGTATCCAGCTTCAAATATGCCTTGAGATTTATATATTTGAAAAACAGAGAGACAGATGGACAGAGAGACAGACAGAGAGCTCTAGCTAGTGGTAGAGCTGGCCGCCAAGAACTGGGACTCTACTTCCAATTGAGCTCCCTACTTGTGGCCTGGGGAAGCAGTGGAGGAAGGCCCAAGTCCTTGGGATCCTGCACCCTTGTGGGAGAGCCAGAAGAGGCTCTTAGCTCTTGGCTTTGGATTGAGTCTATCCTGGTCTCCCACATGACTGGCAGGGCCCCAGCACTTGGGCCAACATCAGCTGCTTTCCCAGGTACATTGGCAGGGGCACATATTAGAAACAGAGCAGCCAGGACTTTTGAGTGTTAGGGACAGAGAGGGAAGAATGGAAAAAAGGCGAAGTTGGGGGTCAGGGGAAAAGGGAGCATGGGGAAGGGGAGGTAGCAAATCTTGCTGATATTTGGGGATTGCATTTACTGGACAGAACATTTTGTGGGATTTGAAATCTTAAGTTGCAGTATTTGGATCATCTTCTTGTGTCCTCCCAGGAGAGTTAGCTGGAATCTGGGTTGGAAGCACATCATTGCTGGACTTGACTGATAACATCTGTATGTGGTGGTAGCATCACAAGTGGTAGCTCTGCCTTTCGCACCACACTGTTGGCCCTGGGTTGCACAATTTTTAGCAGAAATCTGGACAGTGTTTAATTTAACTTGGGTCTGGAAATACTTCTTTTTCTGCTGAGTTTGTGGTATGGAGCTGCTTACTGCAGTCTGCCTGGTCGGGTCAGAGTAGGCTTGGATGTTGCGGTTACTTGTTTGCCTTTGATTAGCCTTTGCTTTAGATCCTCCAGTCGGTTAGTTGGTTATCTTCTCTAATTTTCTGTGCTCTGATTTCAGGTCTTCCTTAGTGTTAGGTCTTATCTCCTCTGCTTTTGGGATGTTTTTCTCCCCACAGTCTTTCCCCTTCCCTGGAGGTGGCCGCTGTTGTACTGAGCATGCCTCTTGTTCCTGAGTGTTGAGATGAAGCTTCACCCAGAGAACACCCGTTCTTCCAGTGGTACACGCGTCTCCCCCGAGAGGAGGCTCTTTTTCTTTTGCTCAGCAGTTGAGAATTTTACCTGTGGCATGATTAGCATGTTTGATGTTTTTGCTGCAGTCAGCTTCAAACTTTATTTTCTTCCAGGACAAGGGTTCTGAAAACATTTTCCTGCAAGGGCATGCTTCCTCCCCACAGACCTATGCCAGCAGGGTATATCTGTCTTTAAAAGCCTTATTTATTTATTTGAAAGGCAGATTGAGAGAGAGAAAAAGACATGGAGAATGATCCATGGGGGCGACTCCCCAAATGGCCAAGGGTGGGCAGCCCCAAGGCAGGAGCCAGGAGCTTCATTCAAGTCTCCCATGTTGATATTGAGGGCCAAGCATTTGGGCCGTCTTCTGCTGCTGTTTGGGCGCGTTAACAGAGAGCTGAATCTGAAGTGAAACAGCCAAGACTCGAACCTGCGCTCCTATGGGATGCTTGTATCACAGGTGGTAGCTCATCGTGCTGTGCTGCACACTGGCTCCAAATGATCTCCTTTCTACTTGCTAGAGTGGGAGTGATGGTTTTACCCTCATAGTTTCTATATTCGGCATAAAACCTGAAATTTCTTCCTATTGAAAGCACTTCTCAAAAATTGTTAATGTTTTATTTAGGAAACATGCTTCAAAGATACAGGAGGATTTCAAAGTATGCTCAGTGTTGCCTTCACCTGATTTGCCAATTAACATTTTTGCTAAATAGACTTTATCACTCTCTTCCTGTGTATTTATGAGTTGTTATTATCGAACCCTTTGAGAATGGCATATTCTAACCTCATGACTGTTTCTTCTGGAATGCTTCAGTCTTACTTTTTTTTAAATAGGTACACTAGTTTATGAAGATCTTAATATCAGAAATTATATGCTAATGTCAAAGTATGCATCAGTAATTTGTATTTATTGAAACCTCTTTCTGTTGCAGGTATCATTAATGGCATTGGAAATTTTAAGTGCCTTTGTGGATAAATTATCAACACGATTTAAATCCTATGTAGCAATGGGTAAGTCAATTATTTAAAATTTATTATAGTGTTTGGCATCGTGAATATTTTTCTTAGTTTTTGTTTAACAGAGTTAAGTTTCTGAAAATTCAAAACTATAATTTTGTACAACCTAGACATCTAACCCACTTGCAGATCTCATGTGCATATCAGTGGGGGCTTGGTCCAGGCTGACTTAGTCTATCTCATGTCCTGGCAGGAATATTAGTCTTACCCAACCAGCCCATACCCATCCGGCTCTTACTGTTGGGTGCTATAGCCCAGCCACACCTGTCCACACTCAGACACAGCTCTCCTGTGGTTCATCTGGTACTAAGACCTAGCCCAGCCTGTCCTACACTTGCCCTGGCTCTCATGAGCACCAGGGGGTGCTGGAGTCTAGCCCAGTCTGGCACACCCCAGGCCCAGTTCACTTCCATGCTGAGGAACACTGCAGTCATGTTCAGCCCGGATCACCGCCCCCGTTCTGGCTCTCACGCTCACCAGTGGGAACCACAACCCAGCTGGAGCGTCCTCTTGGCTCCACAACCAGGCCTGTTCCCAGCCACAGATCTTGAGCATGCCAGCGTTTTCTGTGACCCAGCTCAGCATAGCTCTTCTCCTGTCTTGGCCTTTGCCACTGGATGCTGCATTCTGGCCTGTCCCAGCCTGCCCCCAGTCCCAACTCTTGCTAATGGGTACTGTAGCCTAGCCCTGCCCAGTCTGCCCCATCCTTGGCTCTTGCAAACCAAGTGTTTGGTGTGGTTGGTAGCCTTGGCTGGCATGACCCACACTTCACCCTGGCTCCTGCACATGCCAGTGGGCTAAGGTTTGGCCTGGCACTGTCAGGTCTGCTCCTCCTCCCCCATGAACCAGCCCACACACTTGCCGACTGGTGGCTACCTTGCCTGACCTGACCAACACCCAGGCCTGAATCACATGCTTACCGGCAGGAGCTGCGTCTCCCCAGGGGAGTTGCCCATGTTCCTCCTCCAGCCCCACTTCCAGACCCTCATCTCACATGTGCCGGCAGATAATAGACCTTTAACTAGCATAGCTTGCCTCATCTGTCTCAGCTTTTGTATGAGCTGGTGATGTTGCGGCCCTGCCCAGCCTGCCCCACACCCTATTGTGTGTGCCTGTGGGTGCTGCAGCTTGGGCCATCCTGGCCTTTTTCCAATCCCAGTACCCATGAGTGTCAGAGGGCTCAATGATCATGCCTAAGTCAGCCTTTCACTACCCCCCAGCTGTTGAGCAAATCAGCAGAAATTGCAGTTCCCCAGTGGTGAGCCCACAGAATCTGCCCTGAGACCTGGTTTTCTCACATGCTGGTTAGTGTCACAGCCCATCCACTGTTCTGACATTCACTGGCAGGTACTGCGATCTAGCCCTGCCTGGTTGGCCCCCAGCTCTAACTTTAGTGTGTGTCCGTGGGTGGTGGTCCTTGATGGGCCATGCTAACTAGCTTAGCTCAGGTTTCCCACATGGGCAGGTACATCGGTCTGACCCAGAAAGGTCCTCCAGCTTCCCTCCTGCAAACTGCTCAGTCTCAGCCCCCTCACTTACCTGCCAGTACAGTGGCCTTACCAATGGAAGTCCCTCAGAAGTCATTCCTCACCTGCAACACACTCCCACCCACACATCTGCTCGCCCCCTTCCCTGATCAACCCCCAGTCCCTGCCCCTGGGAGCACATGGGTCCTCCAGCCAGCCTTCCGGAGCCCAGTCTTCTGCCGGGGTGGTGTGAGGGTCCAGAGCCCTGCCTGGCCAAATGGGTTCCAAGCTCCTAGCTCATGTGTTGACCTACAGCCCTTTGTTCACCCAAGATCCAAGTCCATTCCAAGTTCCCGAAGCCCATTCTACCGGCACACCAGGCAGGCATGCTAACCTGGGGCTCTCCTCTCACCTCTCCCGACTGTCCAGGACCAAGCAAGTGGGGAGATCCACAGGCTTGTTCCTCCTTCCTGGGTATAAGCCACCATGTCCCTGCATACCGCCACTAAGCATCTTCCCCTAAGCCTCCTGCAAGCCCGTGCTCCAAAACCCAACAAGGCTGGCTCGTGAGCCGGGGCAAAAAGCTGTTTAACATGTTCTTACTATGAACCTTTGGAGTGAAAGCTCTGTTCTAGATGACTGGGATCCGTCTGAGGATGTTCATCATGTTTAATGACAGTCTATTTTATTTAGATCTCTAGGGAAGATTGGTGCCCCTTTTGAATGCATGTTTTGGGCTTGGCAAAAGTCCTTTCAACTCTCCTTTTACACGTAAAGAAACCGAAGTTCTGACAACTTAATTATCTTGTATAATTAACAGCAAAGTAGAACTAGGAATAAAATCTTGTTCTTCAAGTCCAAGAGAATGTGTGTTGAAAAGATTCCGATTTTTAAAATTTGTGAATTTCTTGTTTAACTTAGTAACTGTAGCAGTAAACTTGTGGTGAGTGGGTTTTTTAGTTTTTATTTATTTTAATTTTATTTTTAATGATGTTTACATAGTCGAGAGGGGTACATGTCCATGTTGGACCCGCGATTAGGGCGGGGGGAGGTGAGGAATAGGGACAGTAGGCAAGACAATTGTTTCTGATCTCCTTTTTTTCCTGCTGATATGTGGGGAAAGTGGGGAGAGAAGGGGAGAGGGCCCCTTCCCGCAGTTCAACGTCATCAGTATCCGGCAATGGGGCACGGCCACCCAGTGTCATCCCAGGGTCCCCGATGTGGAGTGTGTTCCAAGACTTCTGCTCAAGTGGTTTGGATAGTTCTGAGATGCTGTTGATTTTGTTGCTCCAAGGATGAAGAAATCCTTCCACAGTCCACTGGGTGACATAGTCCACCTTAGAGTCTCCACCTGCCCAGATACTTGCTGTGAAAGCTTGGCCAGGAGAGCTGTCCAGTTTGTTCTGCCCTCCATGGTACCAGACGTCCTCTGAGGCCTCAATGAACTGGTTTCATGTTCCTCATGAGCATCTGTACGTGCTGTCCACTGACCAGGCCTCAGCAACTGAGGAGCTCCAGTTCTGACATGTGCACTGCATGTTCATACCACAGATCTTGCGGTTTTCCTTGTGATTGGAGTTCTGAGCCCAGCGATCTGTTTGTGGGGGTGTCCCCAAGGTAACCTCACCAGAGGTGACCCCAGACCTGACTCCTATGTGTGGGGTCCAGCAGCCTACACATGCATTGGTCACTGCAAACACCTGGGAATGCCCTGCTCTGTTTCGTAGAATTGTTGTAAGATCAGACTGGAATCTCGTAAAAGCATATTTCATGGCTGTTACTAAATTCTTCTAGGGCTAGTAATACAACATGGGAAGGATGTTCGCTGTTCCAGTGACGGACACTACCACTGTCTGATGACTAGGCTTAGGGTTTTATGTCAAGGGCTTTCTTTTCTTTCACAATCATTTCCTTGATTAAGTTTCAGATTTTGAGAAACATATTCCATGTAATACAGTTGACATCTCACATTAGTCCTCTTCCTAAAAGAATGCATTGCTCTTTTCTTTAGGTGTTAGTGATGGTCATCACATTGACTTTGGTTGTTACATTGTGGACAAATACATTGGCTTTGAATTGCCAGTGCATTCATTTATACATACCTATAAATAAACTAGAGAAACAGAGTCTTTCGGAGTTAATTTCTTCCTCTTTCCCTGGTTTGAGCTAACCTTGGCCTCTGTAGCTGTAACGTGCAGAGAAAGCCAGCCGATCTGCTTGTGAGTGAGCAGGCTGTAGTGATGCTGGCGAGAGGAGGTGTTTGATGTGGAGTGCTCCTGTGCTCAGGGCTCTGTGCTGTGCAGGTGCTAGCACTGAGTTTTCAGGTATTCCCGGAGAGGGGTACTGCTACCCATATTTCAGTGAGGAAATAGACAAGAAGTGGTTATTGTTCATGCTCACGTGGATTAGTGAAATTGCACCAGATTGCAATGAAAATGAAAGGTGTTAAAGGAAAATATTTTTGAGCTGTATTTTGAACCTGTTCCCTCTGAATCCTACCTCTGTCCATCCTGCTATCCATCCACTCACTCCCTACCACGTTATGTCTTCTTTGTGGTGCCTTGTTGATTCTTTGTGGCTTTAAAAACCTTGATCCTGACAACTCTTCAAGAATGATCTCTAATCTGGCTTTCCTGTGTCAGACTTTAGGACAGTTGTAGAAAAGCCTTAACCTGCGACAGCTGGGGATTTTGCTTTTGTCAATATGTCATACATACAGTGTAGTGCATATGAGGCATGTATGGTTTGGAGAATAACTATAAAACCCAACATTCAGCTATGCCCAAGTCAAGAAACTATAGCACTCTACCATTTGTCTAAATGTTCCCCTCCGTTTGTCCCCACACCAGCAGTTGCTTCCTTCCTCTGCTCTAGGTAACTCATGACTTTTGGGCTAATCGTCTTCCCACTTGTCCTTAGAACTTGGCCATCTGTGTTCTGTACAAGTACAATAATGTTTACTTTGCCTGATTTTGAACATCTTTGTAAGTACATTTCCTGTTGCATATATTTTGAAATTTGTGATTTGGATTGGACTCATGAATGTGAAAAACTTAAAACTTTTAATTTCTTTCCCTCCTGACTTCATTTCGGAAAATAATTGCCGCTTGTTATGGAGATGAATTGTAAACATCTTCTCTTTTCCCTCTTCTCTTTCTACAGTTATTGAAGCTTTAGTAGACAGGATGGGAGATGCTAAGGACAAGGTCCGAGACGAAGCCCAGACGCTGATCCTGAAGTTGATGGATCAGGTGGCACCACCAATGGTAGGCCTGCAGTTCAGAATTCAGTTCTCGCTAACTGGTGATAAACTCAGTAAAGATAGATAGTACTTAGCACAAAGGCATTTAAAACTTGATGGGGCATGAAAGCTAAAGTTTTGAATAATGGATTATTTAAATTGCATACGCTTTCAAGAAATTGAGTGTTGGTATTTGATTTGCTTGCATTTTTGTCTTTGCTTTTTCTTATTTTCTACTCTGTAATGCTGTTTTAAAATAAAAGTGGATTTATACAATTCTTCTGGTTTTTCCAAGTTGCAATTCTAAAATGTTTTTGTGAATATTATTGAGTGCTAATTTCTGCAACTCTTACCAAGAATATTTAAAACACTTTAATTTTAACTGGTGGTTACTAGTTGTAATAAGGCATGTATGTTATGACAGCAACCTGTATCTTATGATTACAGTAGAAATAATTTACACTTCTGGAGGATTTTTGGAAGGGAAACAAAAATAAATTGACATGGGCCCGGGGCGGTGGTGCAAGTGGTTAAGGTCCTCGCCTTAAACGCCTGGGATCCCATACGGGTGCCGGTTCTAACCCTAGCGGCCCCACTTCCCATCCAGCTCCCTGCCTGTGACCTGGGAAAGCAGTCAAGGATGGCCCAAAGCTTTGGGACCTTGCACCCATGTGGAAGACCCGGAAGGGGTTCCTGGCTTCGGATTGACATAGCATCGGCCGTTGCGCTCACTTGGGGAGTGAATCATCAGACAGAAGATCTTCCTCTCTGCCTCTCCTCTCTGTATATCTGCCTTTCCAATAAAAATTAAAAATAAATAAATAAATAAATAAAAATTGACATGTAGAGAAAAGGACAAGTGGGAAGAAAATCAGAATATTAATGCACAGTGATATCATGTGACTTAAAAGTGGAGCTTAAAAATGATAGTATGTATGTTTTGTAAGAAACTCAAGTGATGAAAATAAAGTTTCTTTGAATGTTTTATGTAAGAAATAAATCTGCTTTAGCAGTTTAATGGAGATTGATTTACATTTTAGCTTGCTTTTTGACTTTTTGCTATTACAAAGAATACCATAAAGGACATTTTTACACATAGAGAGCTTCGAAAAGTTTGTGGAAAGCAAAATGAAAAAATAATTTTGGTGCTGAAATTTTTAAACTCTGTGCACATGAGGGGGTCATTAATCATTCATAAAAAGCTCATATTGCAAAATATATATATATATGACTTTCAAAATTTTTTGCATTTTAATTTTAATTCTATTTTGTATGAATTTTTGAAATATCTTTATATAAATAATTACATATAATAATCTTCCAGAGATGGTGTTATTGAGTTGTTAGTCACACTTAGGATTTTTTTAAGACAACTTTTTTTTTCCAAAGGAAAATTAATAGTAAGTGACCAAAAAATGACTTGCTTGAATAGATTTCTGTTTTTGGGTCTAATATTATTAAGAGAAAAGCCTTAATTATACAGTGTTGGGGGGAAAGGCTGTTCCATTCATAGTCTGTAGTAGTTGCTAGGCAATGTTGGGCGATTTAGATGTTTACTGGACTCTTGGGCTTATAATGGTAGCATTGTTATTCAAGGCTTCTAGCGCATTAAAAAACATCCTGTACATAGAATTCTATGTTTTTAAGGTTTTAGACGTAGTTCTCCTGAGAATAATTGAAATCTAAAGTGAACAATATATAAATAAAGACTAAAATGTGATTAAGCTGTTAAAAAATGGATGAAAGCAAGTAAAGCTTAAATTTGGCTTGGAAAAATTTGTAAATATAGGTTGAGAACATCCTTAATCCAAAATTTCAATCCTAATTGCTCCCCGGTCCAAAATGTTTTAAGGGCTGAAATGATGCCACATGGAAAATTCCACACTCTGTGTCACATGTTAAATTGCAGCAAGAACACACAGTCCACTCAAAATACTGTATAAAATTGCCATCATGGTAAGAGAGTAGGTGCAGATGAAACATAAATAAATTTTATCTTGGGCTTATTTGTCATCTCTAAGGTATTTCATTATATGTATATAAATATTCCAAAATCTAAAGCATAAAACATTTCTGGTCCCAAGCGTTTTGAATAAGGAATAACATTTCACTTATCAGTAGGGTTGATAATAAGGTTAAGAAAAGAAAAAACATTCGCGCATGCATCACTTAATTATTATTACACATGTTCACTTTTCTTTCAAATAGTATATTTGGGGACTGTTGGCTTCTGGCTTTAAACACAAGAATTTCCGATCTCGAGAAGGCGTGTGTCTGTGTCTTATTGAAACATTAAACACGTAAGTTTATGATTATTATAAATAGCCTTGTTTTCTATTTTCCCCCAAATTTATTTTAATCAAATTTTAAATAGTTACTAATTGATTTGTAGCTCAGAAGTTTTTGATATCTTTGCTCTTAATTGCATATATTCTGTTTTTGTTAGTTTCTGGATTATCACTCTGTTAACACTTTTTGTTCCTTTTTTCTTTAGTTATGTTAGTTGAAACCACTCAGAATAGAATATTACAAAACTGCTAACGTGGGGTTTTAGGATGTCTGTCTGTAATGATCTAACTTGGGATGGTTCCTGATCCATTAGGATGTCATGTATTGTAGCCACTCTGCCACTAGCCCTTTCTCCAGTTGGCTCTGGGTTTCCTATAGAACACTGTGACTCACTACAAAATCATAGCCTAAAGAGCCTCCTCTTGTCGGGTCCACATGGGTTCAATCCGAGGTGCTCTGCTTCTGATACAGCTCCTGACTGTTGCACCTGGGCAAGCCATTGTGCTGGCCTGGGGGCCTGGGCACCTGACACATAGAAGACCTGGATGGGGTTGCAGATTCTTTCCTGGCTTCCACCTGCTCCAGCTGAGGCTATTGTGACCATTTAGGGAAGGAGCCAGTGCATGGAAGATGTATTTCCTTCTCTTCTCCCTTTCTATAATTCTGCCTTTCAAGTAAATAAAATAAGCCATTGGGGGGGGGGGGAAATCATAAATTGACAAGACTTTCCCAGGTTACTAGAAAGTCTTGTGCAACATTTTGCAGGGTTCTTGAAAGGTATGGGTGGCTCAGAGCTAACACTGAAGAAGTGTAACAGGGGCTGTTCCTGTTCTGAGTTACTTTTCAGACTTGATGCACTATGTTAAGGAATGCGTAACAGCTGAGCTTCTCCTGTATTGTTGCTTCCTTTTCTTAACAGTACTTTGGTTTATTTCCTTTCACTGCTCTGAGATCCTTTCTGCCATCTAGAGCCTGTAAGTGCTCCTCTTCTGCACAGCTTCTGTGATTTGATTTGGGGCTCTCGTGTCATCTGCTTTCAACCTATGACCTCGTCAAAAACATTAAGAAGCATAAAAAAAGATCTTTCAACTGTTCCATTGAAATACAAATTTATTTGAGACCATACTCTAAAAAAGCCACTATTTCAAGAAGCTTAAAGCCTAGATTTTTTTTTCTTAATTGATATTTTTGGAGGTTTAAGAGTGCCATTGGTTGATCGTTTTGCCCTGGTCAATCCTTTGTTACAGTTTTCATTCAGTCATGATTATTCAAGTTTACATTATTTAGAATTATTTTTTGCTTGTGTTTCATATCCTTCATCTTTTAATGATACGTGTTCATCCTCTCCACCATGTTGGTTATATTAGGTTGTGTTAATGTAGATAAGAAGATAAGACTATGTTTTGTTTACTGTTTAATTAAAGGCAAATAACTATTCTTTTTTCCCTCAAATTTAGTTTTGGGGCTCAGCCTTTAGTCCTCAGCAAATTGGTACCACATTTATGTGTCCTATTTGGAGATTCTAATAGTCAGGTAAGCAAAAATTTGTTTGCATTTGAACATTTGCTAACTTCTTGATAATTCTTTTCTAGTGCCTTTAACTTAACAAAAAGAAACAGGATGGAATACGGGTAGTGAAATCAGGATTTTACTTCCTTTAAAAATAATCTAATAGCTTTCAAAACATTACAGTTTGTGAAAATTGCTTCAGTTTGTTAATTAGCAAGTATTAAGGACATATGGAACTTAATGACCTGATCTTGGGAGATGAAAAAAAATTATGTTAATTTTGAAGACAGTTTTTAGCTTCCTTTCTTTATTCTTGAATATTATTGCGTAACAACTTTTTGGCAGTAACCATCATCCGACTTAGCAGGAAGTTCACATCAGTGGCTCATCACTCCCTAGGGCTTTGCTGTGCGGTCTACACTGTAGGAATACAGGCTGGTGGTCTGATCCCTTCACCCCCGGTGAAGTTGGCTGCAGGCTTTTTGACGCGGCTTGGCCATTTGGCCGTTTGGCATGATGCTGAGTAAGGATTCTCGCTCCTTTCAGGACCTACCTGCCTTTGTGGACGTTTAGAGGAGAGAATCCCGCTATCGCCTGAGTTGCCCTTTGCAGTTTAACTGTGCAAGGGAATTTATTAGTGCTCTCTGCCAGATTCCTGAATGCATGCTTTTGGTTTTTTTTTTTTTAATTATGGTAAAATATTTCCAAGTGTAGACTGTCCTTGCGCTGTTTTGTGACCATCTCCACCATCCATGTTGCCAAAGTAAAACTCTGTACTCATTGAACAGTTCAACTTCCCATTTCCTCCTGCTTCTTAGGTCTTACAAACCACACTGTTCTGCTTCTTGTTTTTATATATTACTTCACTGAAGTTGAATCGTGATGTATTTGACCTGATTTGTCTGGGTTATTTCACTTACCGTGATGCCTCAGGGCTTGTCCATGTTATATTGTATTTGTGAGAAATTTCTTCTTTTTAGGGCTGAATAGTGTTCTGTTGTATACGTTTACACACAGGTAACACTTTTTTCCTTTCACTCACTTGTGGTTGGGTGATTGGTTTGTTTCTACTTTGTTTCAGCATGGTTAATAATGCTGCTTTGAACATTGGAGCAAAATAATCTTTTGAAGTTCAGATCACATTATTTAAAAGCAGTTTTATTTTGGGAAAGTATATTAACTCTAATGCTTTTATTGATCAGTTATCTATAAAATCTTACTATGAAAAGATTTTTTTAAAGCCAGATCAGTAACTTTATCAGTTGTTTTAGACTTCTGAAAGACTTTTGCTAGACTTAGCCTGTCGTAGATTTTTCTAGAGACTTGGTAATCTTCCCCCTTCTTTTTTTTGCCATTGACATGCCATAATCTCTGCTAGTATAATTTTACCTTGAAGTGAGACATTTTATCGTGTGTAAGTTTAGTGAGAAGTTCTAATTCTTTTATAGGTGAGAGATGCTGCAGTATTGGCTATAGTCGAGATTTATAGACATGTGGGAGAGAAAGTGAGAGTGGATCTTTATGCAAGAGGAATTCCTCCTGCTAGGTAAGTCTAAATTTGTTTATGATTTCACTGCTAGCTTTACAATTTTTCAAAGGTTTTTACAAATACTTAAATTTTTGAAATGGTATTAATATTCAAAAGATATCAAATGATGTGTATACAAGTTAATACCATTTGAGTTATTTAAGATTTTACTAATTTTTTTATTACTGTTTGATCATGTGTTTGTTCATTTTGTATTATTTAATGTGTAAGTATAGTTATCCCTTGATACCATGTGGCGGTTATTTGGAAAATACTCAAGTAAGGATTTGATAAAATTATTCATTAATTTGTTAAGTGGTTTTTGAATGCCCATTATTGAAAAGTTCTGTATAGTTTACATGGTATCAAAAAGCTTTATAAGATTCAGGCACTATTTTTTTTTAAGATTTATTTATTTTTATTGGAAAGAGAGAGAGAAGGAGAGACAGAAAACCAGGAGGTAGGAGGCTCCTCCAGGTCTCCTTTGTAGCTGTAGGTGTTTTGGAAATATTCATCAGTTTGAGCAAGTTCCTCTCTGTTTCTGGTTACTGAATCATGAATGGCTATTGGATTATTTCAGTGTTCTTTCTGTGTCTTTTGATGCAATAATTTATCTTTAAAGGGCAGAGTGGCAAGGTGGGGTGTACTGTCAGCTTCATTCCCTGAATGCTTGCCAACAGCCAGGGCTAGGCTATGCTGAGACCAGAAGCCAGGAACTCCATAGATTCCCCGGCGTGGGTCACAGGAACGAATACTTACACCAACCCCAGACGTTCTTTGATGTGAGTGGCAGGGACCATGTACTTGAGCCATCACCATCCACTGCATCTCAAGTGCAATAGTAGGAAGCTGAATTGGAAGTTCAGAGTAGCTAGGATTTGAACCAGGCCCCCGGATGTGGGACGTGAGTATCACCATCAGCAGCCTAACCCTCTGTGCCTCATGCTCACCGCTTCCTTTGTGTTATCTTTGTGGTTCTGTGGGATCTGTGATGATGTCGTCTCTTATTACCGATATTGCTACAGTTGAAATTGAATAAAACAAGGTTGAATTGTGGTGGTTCACATATATGAAGACTTTTTTTTTTAAGGTTTGCAGCAATGTAAAAAAAAAATCATAGGTTAACCTAGCTGGGGAGTATATTTTTGAAAATGTATCACGAATGTGTAAAATACGTATGGATACGTCCTTTAGTGTAAAATATAAAGAATTCATTTATACAAAGTTAAAATTATAAAGACGTGTACAGACAACACAGCGTGCCATTTATGATCCAGAGAAATGCAGATACAGTTTTCAATCATAACTCCTTAGCCTTCATATCCTGTCGTGCTGTAGCTCCTCCTGGTCTCTGAACTCGGGTCTTGTTAGTGTCTGCTTGAGATGCCTTGGAATGCTAATGTTCTCTGCCTTCCTTAGCAGTTTCCTCACTTCTGAATTGCTTATAGCCCTGAATGATGTTATGCTTCTTGCCCCCATCTGTCACACACATAGCATACAACATGGGGGACTTGACTGTCTGCTGTTACTGTTAAGGCTCAACAACAGGCCAATCATAGTAAAGTTTCTGCAGTCAGAAGTTCTGTGTGGGTTTTTGAATAGGTGGGAGTCAGGACCCCACTTTTATTATCACTTGTTCAGCGGTCAGCTGTGATTTCTGTTGTTGCTCCTTTATATTGGGCTAGCTAGGAGCTTATCAATTTTATTGATGTTTTCAAAGAATCACCTTTTGGTTATATTGATTTTTTTTTCTGTATCGATTTCTCATTTTTTCATTTCATTGATATTGGCTCAGATTTTTATCATCCCCTCGATTGGATCTTTTAAAAAATGTTTTCTCTGGTTTCTACTTGCAAAAAGCAGGTTTTTTGTTTTTTTTTTTAAGATTTATTTTTATTATTTTTTCATTGGAAAGGCGGATATACAGAGAGGAGAGACAGAGAGGAAGATCTTCCATCCGATGATTCACTCCCCAAGTGAGCCCGACTCTTCCAGGTCTCCCACGCGGGTGCAGGCTCCCAAAGCTTTGGGCTGTCCTCCACTGCTTTCCCAGGCCACAGGCAGGGAGCTGGAAGGGAAGCGGGGCTGCCGGGATTAGAACCGGCACCCATATGGGATCCCGGGCGTGCTAGGCGAGGACCTTTAACCACTTGCGCCACTGCGCCGGGCCCAGCAGGTTTTTTTTTTAAAGATTTATTTTTATTATTTTTTTATTGGAAAGGCGGATATACAGAGAAGGAGAGACAGAGAAGAAGATATTCCATCTGATGATTCATCCCCCAAGTGGCCGCAGTGGCCGCAGCTGAGCCAATCCAAAGCCAGGAGCCAGGGGCCAGGAGCCTCTTTTGGGTCTTCCACTCAGGTGCAGGGTCCCAAGGTCTTGGGCCGTCCTCGACTGCTTTCCCAGGCCACAGGCAGGGAGCTGGATGGGAAATGGACTTGGAGGATTAGAACCGGTGTCTATATGGGATCCCAGTGCATTCAAGGTGAGGACTTTAACCACTATGCAAAAAGTATTTTTAAAATGCTTTTTTGGACCCAGTGTGGTGACCCAGTGGCTAAGATCCTCACCTCGCATGTACTTTGTTTTTAATTTGAGTCACAGAGAAGGAGAGATACAGGGGTTTTGGCGGAGGTATCTTCTATCCAGTGGTTCACTCTCGTGGTGGTCACAGTAGCCTGGCCTGGACCAAAATGAAACTGAAGTCTGGGAGTTTGTTTTTGGTCTCCCATGTTGGTGAATGGGCCCAAACACCTGGACTGTCCCTGTGCCTGTTTCCTAGGCACATTGGCAGGGAGCTGGGTCTGAAGCGCAACTGTCAGGATGAGAACCTGTGCCCATTGGGGTGCTGGCACTGCAGAAGGTGGCTTAGCCCATTATGGCACAATGCTATTTTCTGCTTTGACTTATTTTTGGTAATTTCAATTATTAAAGGAAAATTTCTCCTTAAATTCCTCATAAGGGTTTTGTCTTGTGCAAGTAGCCAAGACTTTAATGTTGTTACTGAATTAGGCCAATGACTTATTTACCTAATCTACTTTTATCGTTTTCCCCTTCTCTAAGAGATTTTTCTGGGATTGGTGTTGTAGCTTAGCAAGGTAAGCCGCCTCTTGTGACACTGGCATCCTCCATCTGATTAGCACCTGCTAATCACAGAAGGCAGCAGGTAACCGTCCAGGTGCTTAGGCTGCTGCTGCCCGTGTGGGAGACCTGGATGCATTCCTGTCTCCTGATGGCAGCTTGGTCCCCGCTCGGCAGCTTGGTCCCTGCTCGGGGACTGAACCAACAGACAGAAAGTGTCCGTTTTCTTTTCTGTCTTTTTTTTCTCTTCATTTTCACTCTTCCTTTCAAGTTAAATAAGTAAGGAATTCTTTTTCAAGAAGTGGCTGGTCACTTTGCAGGTGAAGAGGACTTGGCGCCTGGGGCAGTGGGAGGTGGGAAGCTGCAGGCTTCTTGGCTCTACCTTGGTGCTCTCTGCTGGGCGCGGGTCCTCAGCGATGCTTTCTCTGCGTGCTAGAAGCTGGGGCGGAACCTTGTGGGTACGTGAGTTCTGCTTCTCAAGCAGATGGTGAAACTTCACTGTTTGAAACTTGCCATAGTTTCTCTCTTTTTCTATGACTGTAAGGTCATATGCATTTTATAAGTAGTATTTTTTAAGTCCTCACAGCGTTGAACATATCTTAAAGACTTCCTAAGCTTTTAGAAGGTAAAACATGGATTCATTTCGGCTTCCTCCCCTTTTCAGACTGTTCCTCTGATCTTTTCCCGTTTGCTTATGTGCTTCCTTTTGCCACAGGCATATGGTTTCCAGGGTAAACATTTTCCCGAATAGAACTTACTTGCTTTAAAACTAGAAAGTCGCTTGCCTCGGTGGTCACGTTGCAGCTCTCATTCCCGGAAGGGCATTTTTGCCTCTCAAGATCTGCTGCCTTTGTCCTGTCCCCTTCCCCTTCTTGGTCTTCTAGGTCTTCTGACCTTCATATATATATATATAAAACCTATTCTTTGTTAAACTAAGGAAACTTAAGGGTAATTTATAAAGCTTGAAACAGCTTTGAAATGATAATTGAAAATTTTTTTCTGTCATATTTTGTCATCGCTAAACTCTGACATGGTACTGCCAAAACACTAGATGAAGATGAATTAAACTAAAAGTTCAGAAATGAACTGCCTTTAGGAGCCATTAATTTTCATCAAACATGCCAAGACATTCAATGGTAAAAATGTCTTTTTTTTTTTTCTTCAAATGGTGCTGTGGAAACTGCAGATCCGCTTGAAAAAGAATGAAGTTGCATGTGTTTTTCACACCAGCCCAAAAATGAAGTCAAAATGGATGGTAGAACTGAATATAGGAGTTAAAATGATAAAACTTTGTTAACTTATTTCTTGGGCGTGATACCAAAAGCATAAGTAAAAAAGCAAAACAAAAAATGCTTCAAGGAAATCATGAAGTAAAAGGCAGTTTATCTAATGGGAAAAATATTTGCATTTTAAATATCTTATGAGACGTGTATCTCACGTTCTTAATTCTTGAGCATAAAGAGTTTTTTTTTTGTTTTTTTTTTTTTACAAAAACCTATATCCAGTATTCAGAATTACTTAAAAAGATCCTAGATTCTCCTTTTTTGCTTTTAAATTGCTCCTCCCCCCTCCCCATTTTCAGCAGACTGCTTCATGTAGCATGTAATAATTAGTTATGAGTCTGTTTTTCTAAAATGGATCTCTGGATCTTAATGATTGAATGTGAAGAGATCCATTGAGTAACAGATAAAAACAAAATTATACTGTTCAGTTTGTCGGTTTGCTTTAATTGTAAGACGTTATGGGCTTATAAAATTCTGAACAGGTGATTAATCTCTTCTCAATAAGTGCCAAGTAAAATGAGGTGATAGTTTCACAGAGAAGTTGATCAAGTGAGAGGTGTTGAAAGGAAAAGGAGACTGATAAGAGAGTGGGGTGTCGTGCGAAGAGGAGGTGAGAGCTGGCAGTGAGGTGATGAGATGAGGTGCGCGTCTTTGCCCAGGGTACCCGGGCACCGAGAGAGCTTGATGCTGTCCACGCTGTTTGACCTGACCTGTCTTTCTGGTAAATGCTATTTGCTTCTCCCTCTACATTCCTTGAAGTATGTTTTATCTGTCAGCCCTAGTAATTTCACATTTTCCTAATCCATAGCTGATGGTTAATTGTGTGCATGCGTGTGTGTGTGTGTGTGTGTGTGTGTGTGAAGATTTATTCATTTGAAGGATTCAATGACAGAGTGAGAGGAATAAAGAGGACTTTTCATCTGATTGCTCACCGCCCCCCTCTCTGCCCCCAAATGGCCACAATGTCAGGCTAGGCCCATCTGCAACCAGGGGCCAAGAGCTTCATCTGCTTCTCCCACAGAGGTGCAGGAGCCCAAGTATTTGAGCCATGGTCTGCTGCCTGTCAGGTGCAGTGGCAGGGAGCTGGATCAGAGAGGTAGGGCATCTGGCTGGAATCACCACTCAACCCCTAGGGCTGAAACATGAGCTGTGTCTTTAACGGAAATGTTTTTAGATTTGCAAATAATTGGCGTTTGCTGATTTTAGTGAGATGGAGGAGGTAAAATTATGGTTTAGAAATTTATTTTTAAAAATCCCTTGTAGGATTTGACTTTTTAAAAAACAACCAGTTTTTTCTTTTTAAAGATTTATTTATTTAGCTTGAAAGTCAGTGTTAGAGAAAGTGAGAAAGAGAGAGAGAGGAAAAAAAAGAAAAAGAGAGATCTTTAATCTGCTGGTTCATGCCCCAACTGGCCACAACAACCAGAGCTGGGGTGATTCAAAGGCGGGAGCCAGGAGCTTCTTTTGGGTTTCCCCCATTCAGGGCGCAAGGTCTTGAGCCGGGCTCTCCTGCTTTCCCAGGCCATCAGCAGGGGGCTGGATCAGGAAGTAGAGAAACCAGGACCTGAAGTGGTGCCCTTATGGGATACCAGCACCTGCCAGCACTCAGGGTGAGGATTAGATTGGCAAGCCACCCTGGTCCCTAGTTAATTCTTTCTTACTGAAATAAGGCAGTGGCTAAATTCACAAAACATCTGTGTCTTCAATATACAGGTAAGGCAGGATGTGAGCCAAGGTGTGAGGTTTTATGCAACACAGTTGTGACAGGTCTATGAGAGTAAGCTGGAGAAAAATGTTTGGCAATTGAAGACCATGTCCTAGTGGCCTTCCTGCCTAACTCATGAATGGAAGTCACAGCCTAGAATGTGAGACATACCTGTGGAATTGATACTGTATGAAGAAAGATCAACAGCAAAAGCATCAGATTATCAGCATCACTTTAAAGTCTTAACGTTTTAAATTTCCTTCTTTTTGCATTTGCCCTAAGGTTCCTTGGCTTGCTTTTTTTTTTTTTTTTTGTACTTTGTAAGGATATCATGGTGGTCAAGTGGATTTATTTTAAGGCTGGACCTAGAATACTTTTGATGGGTTTGTAGTGAAATAATTTTATAACAAAACATGGGAACCCATTTTGTGTGAAGTTGTCATTTCACCAACTTGTATAAAGTCTTACCTGTGTTTAGTTTCTTTCAGACAAAGAGAGCTCGGTTTTTAGTCTTGTGTTTGTGAGTTAGTTATAAAAGAATTGTGATAGAAACTAATAGAATTCTTAAAATTGTTCTTTCTAAGGGAAATAGTAAAGCAAACTGTGGTTCATTTCTATGTGTAAAAAACCAAAACAGTTTATTTTTTATTCCCAGGTTAAAAGTGATCTTTGCTAAATTTGATGAAGTGCAAAATTCAGGTGGAATGATTTTGAGTGTCAATAAAGGTAAGAATAATGAAATATTCCTTCTCTGAAATATTTCTGAGATTATTTGGCAAAGTTTTAGACAGATGTGTTTTTAAGGCAGCTATTATAACACCGATTCAGAAAAGCTGGTTTGGAAAAGTTTAAAAAGTTAGTTGGGATATAGTAAGATCTTCACATCCTTTTTGGTCATTAGTTTCCTTCTAGCTTTTTGGAGTGAGTGAAAATACAATGTTACATCTATACAGTAAAATGATCTTACAGGTTTCTCTTGCTTTTGCGTCTTCTGTATTGCTGTGTTGTGCCCTCTTGCCCTCAGCATTGCACACACAGAGCTGGTTTTGTAAACGGAGCATTTGTCCTGGGGGTTGGTTTTAGTAGGTGTTGTGAGGCTGAGGGGCTGAATCCTGCTGCGTGCAACCCCTCGGGGTGCCAGGGCCTGCGTGCAACCCCTCGGGGTGCCAGGGCCTGCGTGCAACCCCTCGGGGTGCCGGGGCCTGCGTACAACCCCTCGGGGTGCCAGGGCCTGCGTGCAACCCCTCGGGGAGCCAAGGCCTGCGTGCAACCCCTCGGGGAGCCAGGGCCTGTGTGCAACCCCTCGGGGTGCCAGGGCCTGCGTGCAACCCCTCGGGGTGCCAGGGCCTGCGTACAACCCCTCGGGGTGCCAGGGCCTGCGTACAACCCCTCGGGGTGCCAGGGCCTGCATGCAACCCCTCGGGGAGCCAGGGCCTGCGTGCAACCCCTCGGGGTGCCAGGGCCTGCGTGCAACCTCTCGGGGTGCCAGGGCGGCAGAGACACAGACACTGGAGCTTCGCTAGTGTCCTCATCCTGGCTGCCTGAGGGAGAGCGAGCAAGGGAGGCCTGGAATCAGCAGGTGGTTTTCTTAGTTTTGTGGTTCCTTTCCTTTCTATCAGATTGATGCTGAATAAGATTAACTGAGATTTTAGCCTTTCCACATCAATTAGTTATAAATGTGAAATATATTCTATTGCCAAAATAGCATGGCTGTTTCTTCCACCTCGGAAAGTAGCCTTGAAGAGAGTGTGAGTTAGCTTGCTGATGTAACAGTATTGGAGAGAAAAAAAAATGATGTGGGAGTTTATAGCCAAATAATAGGAAAGCTAGATACAAACACAATATGGATTTTTTTCTAGGTTAAACCAAGACTACGATGTGATTGTCAGAAACCAGAAAATTGGGTGTATTAAATATTATGTCTATCTTAATCTATACTTAATTTACTTAGCTAAATTAACTTCAGCACTGTCAGTCGGCACCTTGACTACCAGCTGTTTCTCACTTCTCTGAATAGAAGATATTTGGGTATCTTTCTGGGTCCTATTTTTCTAGCAGTTAACTCTCTCTCTTTTATAAGATTTATTTATCTTTGTTGGAAAGTCAGATATACAGAGGAGGAGAGACAGAGAGGAAGATCTTCCATCCTATGGTTCACTGCCCAAGTGGCTGCAAAGGCCAGAGCTGAGCTTATCAGAAGCCAAGAGCCAGGAGCTTCTTCCGGGTCTCCCACTCAGGTGCAGGGTTCCAAGATTTTGGGCCATCCTCAACTGCCTTCCCAGGCCACAGGCAGGGAGCTGGATGGGAAGTGGAGCTCCTGGGATTAAAACTGGTGCCCATATGGGATCCCTGTGCGTTCAAGGCGAGGACTTTAACCACTAGGCTACCACACTGAATTCTTTCTCCTCTTTCTCTGTCCATGAGCCAGGGAGACTTGGGGGTAAAAACCTGGCATTTATTTTTCTTCAGAGATTGTATTGGAGATTATAATCTGAATTTTACAAGTATGGTGTAAGTTGCAAGCCTGTAACATACATATTCTGGCATAAAAATTGGTCATAATGGTTTTTTTCCTCTTCTTTAAAGAAAAGCAGAGCTACAGAGAGAGATCTTTACCCGCTAGTTAATGACAGTACAGTTGGCCTGTGTTTCTATCGCATATTCAACCAGCTAGTGATCAAAAATCTTAATAAAGCTGCAAGAGTTGCTTTCGTATTTGTAAGTGTACTCTTTTTTTTTTTTACAGAGTTTGATATTACTCTTTTTCAAAACACAACTATTTACATAGCATTTACATTGCATTAGACACTGTTAGCGACTAGGCATGGCTTACAATGTTGCAGGATATATGTCGTTACAGGCCAGTAGTACCTGATTTTGCATGAGGCTTGCGTATCCACACATTGACAGTGCATGGCATCCATCATGGGCAGGGCCTTCGGGACCCTCATGCCACAAAGAGCTACCCAAGATACCCGAATAATTTTCACAGGTGGAAACAATTCAGTGACAATAAATAGATGGCGTACAAAGTAATGTAGTAAAGATTTGTTCAACTCCTCTTTATATTTCCGCACAATACTTTCCCCACAAAGTTTTCAGGCTTATTTGATTCATTACACCTACCAAAACTTTAAAACAAAATTATAGGGTAAGAAAGCATTTTAAGGGAAAATAAAGGCTTAACACAAAAGCTTGTGGAATTAGTCATGTGAACAACAAAGCAAAATGGTATTAAATGGTATTAAAGCTATTAAAAGTATTTCTTCATGGGCTCAACGTGATGGCTCAGTGGCTAAGTCCTCACCTTGTACCAGAGCCCTTGTACCGTGGGGCTCTGGTTCCTCGTAGAGATGCTACTTCGTATTTTGGCTGCTCCACTTCCCGTCCAGCTCCCCACTTGTGGTCTGGGAAAGCAGTAGAGGATGACCCAAAGTCTTGGGATCTTGTAACCAAACAGGGAACTAGTAGAAATCTTTTTAAAAAATGCATCACTTCTCTTTTTTACCTAGTATATTTATGCAACAAAAATTGTTTTGATTTTATCCAAACATGCCACAAAATCAGATTTACGCGATGTGATATTCTCTGATCAGAAACTGTTGAAAAAATTACTAATGCATGTTGTCCTGAAACCATAATAATGAAACATCACTCATATTACAACAGATTTAATGATTTTTATTATTTTTTAAAATAAATTTTATTATTTTTTAAAGATTTACAGAGAGGAGAGACAGAAAAATCTTTCATCCCCTCCTTCACTCCCCAAATAGCCGCAATGGCTGGAGTGAAAAATCTGAAGCCAGAAGCCAGGAGCCTCTTCTGGGTCTCCCATGCAGGTGCAGGTTCCCTGGCTTTGGGCTGTCTTCAACTGCTTTCCCAGGCCACAAGCAGGGAGCTGGATGGGAAGTAGGGCCACTGGGGCAGAAGCCATTGCATTGGGATCCCAGTGCATGCAAGGATTTAGCCTCTGAGACATCACACTGGGCCCCTTAAGTAAATTTTATTAAGCAGATGGGGGAAGCAGGATTAGATGCAATGGCAGTATATGGTGTTGAGATGGCAGCTAGCTCAGTGGTGCACTTCGCGTGTTATTGGGGACAGCTGTCTCTGAGAGGTATCCTGTTGGAGCTGGGACCAGAGAATGGGCCAGTTTCGGAGATAAGTGGTTAGGAAGATGCTTTTGTGTAGAACAAGTGACCACGGTTCTGGAGGTAGAAATGGGCTTGGTGCATTGGAAGGACAGAAGGGAGGCCAAGGCTGCCTGAAGGCCAGTGAGGCTGAAACTGCAGAAACCTGAGGACTGAGCTGCAGGTGGAGGAGTCAGCAGGAACCGACCTCAGGGCCTTTTGCCGGTTGGGGGAGTTCTGATGGACTGCTAAGCGTAGGAAATCCAGAGAGGGTTTGGGGCTAGAAAGAGATATGGTAAGTGGGAATAACCTGGTTTGACAGTGTCTCACTTATATTTATTGCGCAGAGAAAAGGTACTTCTTTTCTTCCTTTTATTTCCGCTTTTCTCCCTTACCTTTTATACTTTTGTCTGATTTCTTTTGTAATTGTCACATCTCTCCTCTGAGTTACATTCCTAGGGGTTCTTGGAGTTGATTTTTTTGGATCACTATTCAGCACACTTAAAAACACAGAGTAAATCACATCATCAGAGATTTGAGCATGTCATCGAGCGTAGGAATAGTTGAAAAGACATCCTTTTTTTCCTCTTGAGAGTTTTTCAAGCTCAGCTTTAATTCTCATGCTTAGAAAGTGAGTTAATGAAGTGTCCCCCTACGAGCAATGACGGAATCTGGATTTAAAATTAATTAGATTATGACTGAAAGGAAGCAACCCCAGCCTGGCAGGAGGGAAAAACTGGGAGCTGGAAGCCCCCTGTTTGTGGCAGACTTTGCTGTTGCGTTGGAACTTTCTAGGCAGTCGTCTGCGTGAACCCAGATGTAAACAGCAACAGTGTGGGAGGTTGGGATCGCAAGTCTTCCTCTTTTACTGTGTGGGGAGGGTAGGGAATAATACTGATTTTCTAATGTGTGTATGAACCCTACTGTTGCCTTACCTTGTAATTTTTGTATAAGATATTTTCTAGCCTCTCTGAAACAATTGCTAGGAAAAGCATTATTCTCGAAGGCTGACGATAAAATAAAGCATGGAAATTAGGATCTGAAATTACCTTGATGTTTGGTTTGTCTGAGTCAGTAAGGTGGCTGGTTCTGTCTAGTTTTCACTATTTGTGTAGCATTTGCTCTGGTGAAAGGAAGGCAGCTCCTCCCTTAGGTGGGTTATAGGCGTATCTGTCAGTGAGCAGAGCCGCGGGGCCTTCTCTGCGCTCCACAGTGTGCTGAAGCTTTGCAGTCTGGAGAGGGTGCCCTGCGCCCCCGCAGCTGCGCACTGGCTGCGTTCTGTTTCCTCCTCCAGAAGCAAGCTTTGTTCCGTGTGGCCCTGCCGTCTGCACACAGAGCAGGCTTTGATGGGCTGCCTTTGACGTGGTTTGTTTACGGCAGCCAGAAATGCTTCCTGAATAATGAGAGCAGTTAATCATGGAAACTGGGCTATTCCTGTTTGTGCACTTCTAGCAGTCTTCTCTTGTAAATATTAAAAGGTAATGACAAAGGGAAGAAAAGCGTTTCTAAAAGGCGCAGATCAGTTAATCCATCAGATCATGTGATTGCCACTGATTACACGGATATCTTTAGGGAAGCACAGAATGATTGCTG